GGTGAAGCTCTGGATATTACGGTATTTTCAAAAAGTAATAACTAGTGCGGAATGAAGGACTTTCTAGAAGAAAAAAAAGGAGAAGATTTAACTAAGACTTCCAGTCTAGAAGAAGACATCAACAAACCGAGCGAGAATTATAGTTATTCATTTGAGTGGCTATCCCCGAACTTCGAAAACTTGAAAACAAGTTGGTACCCTAACTTAAGAAAGTACTGTATTTGAAAGAAGACCTGTAACAATTTTTCCACAGCATTATGGTTTCTTAATCTGTTCGATCCTCAATTGCATGAAGTCTTTGGGTTTATGCCAGCGCATCACGACTTGGAGTATTATACTCCAAAAACTCTTTCGTAAGGGGGGTAATGAGATACAACTGCGATAACGTTTTCACTCGAGTGACGGCGACATAGAAATATGAACGCTGAGGAATCCTGCGAGTCGGATGACGAAGCGGAGCAAGAATCATTTTCTCTACTGTCAGTCCTCCCTTTGAAATACCCGACGTGGTAATTCGTTTTCTTCCTCTGATGTGTGTGATGTGTGTGTGTGTGCGTGCGTGTGTGAGAGGGAGGGGGGGGGCTTACTTACGCGCTTACGTCGTAAGGTTGATGTGTACTAGCCGAGCGCCGCCGCTACGCGGCGGTAATTTTGGTTTTACTCCAGATTTTTGCCTTCCCGCCTTCGCTTCGCTTCGGCGAGATAATTAGTCCAAATCCTCTGAGTCCCATATGTGATAAATCGACTTCTTTAATTTCATAAATCTGCGTTTCATTTACTACAAAATGCTGAGTTCCCAGTAAGCCGTGTAAATATTTCTACCGGTACAAAAGACTGAGCCCCTAGCATCATACTTACCATGCTCATCAACGATTACGCTAGTGATCTTGGCAAAGTCTCTTTATTGTTGTTGGCTATCACTGTACCTTAATCTTCCACCCAGAAGCACCTGCACTTCAGTCTAAAATCGCTAAATAATATATTTAGTTTAGCGTCGTGCTCGATTTCACGGGCCGTTTCTGAAACCTAGATTGCATCAATGCAAAGAATATCTGTCCAGCTTGCATCAAATACCCGCTTGTACTGCCTGGTTAAGCTTGTAATAAACTGACTATTAACCACTTCGCAAACCAAACTCGCTACTTTGAAAGAAAATTAAAAGTGTTACAGTTTGAATATTTAATAAAAATATTCAAGCTGTAGCATTTTTTTATGCCTTGAAGTGTGTTCATTAGACACTCTATAATAATAATAAGTGAGGTGTATTGTGTTACTGGCGGACCTTGATTCACCTGAACTCTAATACCCATTCTCGCCAGACTAGTCTTGTTCTGCCGAGTTTCCCTGTCTACCTTGGGGTTTCGCCGCTGCTCCCCCTTCTCTTTCCTCATTCTACTTCATCAAAGTTCCTTCATCTCTTCTTCGCTCTTCCCAATGACCGACATCGCTCTGCATGAGGTCTTGGATACTTGTGCTCAGCGGGTGTTCCCCCGCTTCGCCCATTGACATGTAAACTTTGCTCACCGAGTGATCCATTGCGTAGTTTGCCAGCCAGTCTGCCGCTTTATTCTAGCTCCGGTAATGATGCGTCCAGGACTTCACTCTGCACTTATCTGCCAGAAGTCGTGCCATTCTGTGCCAGTGCAACAATTTTTTGGCCCTCGGCTGGCTCCGCCGCTTCATTATGCCCAGTATCATGGCGCTGTCTCCTACAATGTGAAGTCCGTACCATTGCATTTCTTGTGCTTTCTTCAACACTCTATGTAGACCGATGAATTCCGCTTGATTGTTGGTGACTTGCTGGTGGCCTCGAGACGTCGCCGCCGCCCAAATCAGCTTCACTGTCTTGCGTAGTCCGTCGTACTCTACAATCACACTCCCACTTCCACCTTTCCCTGGATTACCGCGTGAACCTCCATCAAAGAATCCTATATGGAGGGGGTGATCGGGTTTATTCCCCTCCCCTATAGCCTCTCGTGCCGCTCGACAGTGCTGTACAATGTGACTAGCCGTCTCCAACTTCCACTTGCTTCGCCTTGTGACCGGAAAAAGCGCTGTATAATACCTCTGCAGTGACTCAATAATTGCCTTGCTGGTTTGTCTTAAAAAACCTTCCGCAGTGATCATCGGCCCCTCTGTCTGGTATGCCTGATTTACTCTCCACCTCCATAAGGCGGATATGGCTACTGTACATCCCAAGGCCCACATATCTTCTGCCACTTGATGTATATGGTCCCAACATTCCTCTGGTTGGGTCATTCCCCACTCTGCAAGCCAAGTAGGCAGTCTCGGCAGGTGAAGTGCCAACAGCTCTGAGATCTTCATATTTACTGACTGCTCATATTGATCCCCGTCTCGAATTGGTTTGCTAAAAAGATGGAGCCACTGTCCCCACATGTCCTTGGCATCCGGGCATTCCCAGACTAGGTGAGCTTGTCCCCTGCCTTCTCCTTCCATCTGCTCCGTGCATCTCGCCCCTGAGCATACGTAGCCTTTCTTGTCCGTGGCCCATATCTGTAGCCTCCAGTGTTTCAGCCTCATCAGATTTTGTACCTGATACGGCGTCGCCCCTGTCACTTTGTGCAGTCTGTCCCATCCGAGCAATTGAAGTGCCGAGGCCATTGGTTTGTTCTTTCTGGCCCCTTTTTCGGCTATTTGCTTGAGTTTGTTATGGGCCTTTTGCTTCTTTTGCTTGGTAATCACCTTCTTGTAACCTTTTCTGGTTTGTGCCCAGCGTCTTCTTCCCGCCCATAGTGGTTGCATTCCGGTTAGCCACGGATGTGGCACTATCCAAACCTGCCGCTCATTTGTGTCTAGGGATGCCGCTATTGCTGTGGTCAGTTCCATGTCCTTGGCTACCTTCTGTAGATGCGTACTCCAGCCATGCATGACCTGCTTCCGTGCTCCGCTGTTGTCTACCCAGAATTGATGATGTGGATCATCCAGGCCATGTCTCACTCGTAGCACCTTGTCTTCGGTGGGTTTGTACGCCAGCTCGGGAAATTGGGCTAAGAAGGAGAGGCATAGCTCCCTAAACTTGTGAGCCATACTGCTTGTCATAGGGAGCTGTAGCGACACTGGCGAGAAGGTCACTATTCCCTTTGCTTCCCAGATAATCTGGATTATATCTTTGACTCTGCATCCTTTCGTACCATTAAGTAGTGATCGGTAAGCCGAACCCGGTTTGATGGTTTTGAGTGCGTCTCGCCACTGTATCTCCCGTATCCCTAGGTTCCCTACTGCGTGATGAATATAGTCTCCTCGGGTAAGCCTGCGATGCCTGCGCATCTTCTCCATCGGCCCATTGGCTAAGTCGATAAATTCGCATCTTAAACCTTGGTTCCCCTACCGTGTCTTTAGTCCGTTCCTGTGTCTCAGTAGCTTCCGTAACTCCTGTTCAATTGGTACTTCGTCGCTTGCCGGAACCTCTTCTGGTCCAAACCATGTCGTCACCAGTGGTTGCCCAGTGCTCCACATGTCCTCAGTGACTCTCTTGGAGTAGCGCTTACGTATTGGGGTAGTATGCGTGTCCTCATTCGTTGCATCCTTTCGCAGCACATGCCCACACTTCGTTTTGAGCTCGTTTGAGGACATAGACCACTCTCCCACTGCCATTGCTGCCATTGCAATGAGTTCCGTGGTGATATTTGGCAATCCTATTCCTCCATCTTTTACTGGGAGCTCAGCTATGTCGGCGCTGATCCACCCTTTTGGCGGATTCAGCGGACTCGCGAAACTTGAGTTCCAGACAAAATTCCTCACCCTCCAGTCCGCTTCGCGGATAATCGTTTGCGTCGGCCACGCGTGTCTCGCTACGTACATCATTTTGAACATAATGATAGCGGCTGCTATGGTGGCCCTGTCCTGGGCAGTGTTAGTTTTCTTTGCTGCTAGCGCTAGTCTTACTATGAGAGCTGCGAACGCTCTCGCCCATACTGTCCGCACCATGTTACCCGATCCAACCATATGCCCCAAGTAGCGTGTGCCATCCGTCACTTCGATCCGCTCAGCTGCCTGGCCTGTGCCGTCCCGGATGTGTCCCGCTTCGTCGTTAGCTATCATTGGTCCCAGTCTAATCGCCACGGACTTGTTGATGTTCAGGTGTAGGCCTGACATTCTGGAGAACAGGTCTACCGTGTTCAGGACTTGCTGCTGCATGGTCCTATCTGTGATATACACCGCTGTGTCGTCCGCATATCCAGCTACTCTTAGTTGCAGCCCACCTTTCTCGTCCAGATCGATGCCGTGTAGGTCTTGTGTGGCCCAGATGGCATCGTATAGTATATCCACAGCGATGATGAACAGTAGAGGTGCAAGTGGGCATCCC